ACTGGACTGGCTTGATTTATTTTTACAATCATAGCTTTTATCACTGGAATGGAATATTCGTGGACCTGTTCTATTCTGGCATGTAAGGCGTTTTAAATATTACACGACATGTTTTTGTATCAACGAATGAATTAGTTTTGAGAGCCATTTTAAAATATTTGAAACCTTGCAGCAGATCATTAATTATGAGCAGAGATATTTGTAAGGAATCTAAAAACAGTGTGTTTCAGTGAAGCTGATAAATGAGAGCGGATTGATTCATAGATTAGCATTTCCACAAAAAATTACTTAATGAATTTTGGTAGCATTTTATATGAACACACACACACACAAACAGACACACAGACACACAGACACACAGACACACAGACACACAGACACACACGCACACGCACACGCACACACACACACACACACGTATCATACGCATATCTTCCAATTTAATCAAAATTTGCGGGTCAGTGTGGATCTGTTGAGACAGCTACTTAATACATATTATTTCAAAATCGTAAATTACGCCGCTAGGGATGAATTTGTTCGACAGAGGGACGAAAGTATTTATAACCATGTTTTCCTAGTCGATTTATATGACCCTCGGACGTTGTGTAATTTGGGACACTTTAATAATTTTAATAGTGGTTATTTATGTGTTACGGTTATCACATGAAATTTACTATTGTACCTCTATATCTATCAATATAAACCGTTCTGCACTTTTTAACACCCGACGCAAAAAGAGGGGGTTTCTGGGGTTATTCTTTACTATATTTGGTAATTATTATATTATTTATATATAATGATGATTATTATATTACGATTACTTAATTTAGTGCCCCATGAGTGCCAGTATATTCTTTAGATAACACTGAATGCGTAGAGTGTTTTTAAATTTTGTTATTTAATTTATCTAAGACTGTAATTTGTATTGAATTATGTTTGAAAAAATCTTCTACGTGGATATAACAAATTAATACTGTTAATAATATTAAACAAGAATCTCAACTGTTTGTTTTGCTTTAGCAACGCTTTTTATCGTACGTTCCATTTTTCAAAGAATTTATAAATGTCCACTCCCACCACGATCTCGGTACATTCAAGAATGTTGCTGAACGGGCTCCGGCCTCATAAATATGAAGCTGCTGATTAAAAAGCATGCACTGAAAGTTTTTTTCCCCTCTCTGGCCTATCCAAGGCACAAATGTGAGAAGATTTAATACACATAGTTACCTGTTGCGTAATAAGACACACTTAAATCGTAAAAGACATTCGATAGACCGACTAATCCTGCAATTAAACTTGTTAAAATATTGCTTTTAACAAAACACTCATACGTAAGCTTAAAATATATTTGATGTTAATACACTATAATGATAGTATAAATTCATTCAATTTTGTAAGTAGCTTAAGAGATAAAACTTTTTTTCTTTTAGACCCGATGTCTCATTGGTCTGGACGTTAAGTAGACGAACGTCGGAGACTTGTTTATATCTGCAAAATTGCTAGATTATTACAACCCTTCAAGCTTTAGTGGTTTACTTAATTATGTATGATGAAAATTATGTTGAATGAATAGCACGGTACACCAAGATTTGCCTTCAGACAAGGCTCTTGATGATATCGATTTATTACTTCCAGATATACACGTTTAAACAAGTCTACGAACGCGGGTTATATGAATAATAATGTTATAAAAATGTGGAGCAAAATAAAACGCTTTGCGGCTTATTTAAAATGGATGCGTGTTAAGAAAAATATTCAAAAGTTATAGCAGTAATAGGATCACTGAGACCAAAGGAGACGTACTAATTCACATCAACACACATTTCCCCGGGGCGCCTGTCGTGGTTCGGGAACACTTGAAGCTCTTCGTGCCATCAAAACTCATACGCCAGGATTGTATTCAGATTATAATTGAGCTTTTAGAAGATTTAGCCGCATATATTACGTAATAATAAACCTTTTAATGAACTTGAATCTTGTACATTATAAGCTGCTTTCGAAAGGAAAAGGTTCTTCATTCGATCCTAAATTAAATTAGTTAATAAATATCGGATAAAGCTGCCAGAGATACGATACATAATTTGATACATACAGTACAATATGACTACATATTTCAAATTCAAAAAGTGTTTTGTTTAATATGCGATATCATGGGAAGTTACACTTTCTAGATATTATTTTTTTTGTTTTAAACCTACTTCTTTCACTATTAATTATGGTTATTCGTGGATGTTTATTTATACGTAAACATAGAATTGGCCAAAATGTTACAGTATAAAATCGAACATCGATGATCATCTTATTGTCTAGTCAGCTCTCGTCAGACGGCGGCCGGAGGCAGCCTTAATGTTAGCTTACAATGCCAGTAGCTCATCTATTCAATCAATGCCTTGAGAATGCCAATTGTTTACTTAGCTCTTCCCAAGGGAGACAATTTGATGTCTGTTTTATTGGATCTATCAAAAACGTGCCGCTGGGTGTTTAATCAAGTCCCAACAGACAACACAATATCCAGTTGTTATTACGATAAATACACAAATATACCTAATGAAAAAAAATTGTTCTCGAAAAGGCAAGATTTAATTACATGCCTCTAACGTTATAAAGACATTGTTTCATTACCTTTATAGTGAGACTGACTTCATATTATTAAATGGAAGGCTATAAAGATACTTATAATTTAGCACTCGGTAATAAACGTTTATATAAAAATGCTTGATTTCGATCACAACTTTCAAGCAAGAAGGCCACGTGTTTGGTGAGTCAAGGTCATCTAGTCGAGCTTGTTATCATGTTCTATATATAATTCATAAAGAATACATCGTAGTTTATTCAAAATACCGTGAAATAGCATCATTTTTGTACATAAAACACTTATGAAAATGTGTTACAATTTAAAGAAAATGATTAAAAATTCAGTAAATTAATTTCATCGAAACAAAAATCCAAACCTTACAAGTAAAAAGCATCTAAGTTTATGTACAAATATAACCTTATAGAACAAAAATAATAAAATTTAATTAATTATGACATTGTATCACAAAGCAATCTATAATAAATAAATTTTTATAATCTTTAATTTGCAATTCGAGACAATGCGAAATTAAAGTAGTAAAATTAAAATTCCACTTACTTTTATCTCTTAAAACTGATTAAAAACAGGTTTTCAATTAATATTATTAAATTGCCTTAATTGCAACGCCACCTGAATAAATCCACTCATGCATTGTGCCTGTCGAGTGTTGAGTACTTCAAGCGCATATTTAGTATTTACCTATTAAGTAACAATGGGAATTACATGCAGTCCCTCAACTATGATGAAGATATATTATACTAATTATGATAATACATTTATAACACTAGTGTTCCATGTATAGTCGAGACTCTCTGTCTGAAATAACACAGTGTTAATCTAATATAATATTATTATGAACTATGTATTTAGCGTCCGTATCTATTGCTCGATACTTTTATTTTTATTACTGTACAACTGTTCTTATATAATAAAACTTTCTAGAACATTGGTGATATGATTCAAGTTGTAAATTAAATCTAGCCAGCTATAAATGGAATTTCAGTTGCGCTTCCATAGTTTCGTAGAAAATGTTGTAACTCAATAATTCGTACAAAATTCAGTTAAAACTATAAAGTAATATTATCTTTGACAATAATGTACAATCGATAGGGACTAAAACTTTGTTATATTATTTTCCTTTTGATAGCTACGATTCAGTTAATACAAGTCTTATTTAATTTACTACGAATGTACCTATATTAAACAATTAATTTACTTCTTATTTACATATCTGTACAGACATTTTCTTTATTAACGTAAAGGTCTCGTGTTACTTAAGATTACAAGTAAACATGATGTTTTTCATTTCAGACAAATTTGTATTTCAATTAATTTACTTTTTAAGCATACCTTCTAAAAATAGCTTACAGGAGTTCATTCATTTCCTTATAGTGATTGAGATAATTAAAAAATAATTTCTTACTTTTTATCAATTCACATAAAAAATCTGTGTAAGCTTTCTTATGCCTGTGAATACTAGCATGGAATAATGATTGATAATTATTTACTTTTTTGACGTTTTCTGTTCCAGGTACTACAGTATTATATTTCCACATAATATGTGTGTGTCTGAGTGTTTCGCTATATATAAAATGAGATTACTATTAAGGTAACTTTGCAAAATCCTTCTTAAGGATTGCAAAGTGGTAATTCAAGCACAAAAAACTATAAATCAAAATTTAATTTATAAATTTCGATCAAAAATAAATTTTAAACCGACGTTATGCTAAAATGAACCTCTTACATGAATGATAATATAATAATATAGAAACTACACAATCATACGCCTTCATATCAATCAATCCGCAGAGAAGGAGGCTGTGTCAGAACCGGCTGCAAAGAAACGCCGGAAGCCTTTCTCTCATAGCTATGTAAGGCCCTACTGATATGTAAAAGTGAAACGCTGTCTGCCACTTGGTTTGTTACACAATTACTATGACTTCACACTCGCAACAATAGTCTACTGTTATAACGTTGTCTTTCTTCTATAACACTTTTCTGTTATGAGAGCACAGGAACCAATTAAGAATGGAACGCCTTTCAACAAAGAAAAACAACCGGTGACTGTTTAACAACAGAAATAAGGTGAGAAAAAAATTATATTAAGAAAATTACGTTGTATTGACGGTGATAAGTGACTACAAACTATTTGAAGAAACTTGAAGCGTGGAATTATATGCAACGACAATAGCGCTAGAGGTAAGTAATCACATATTTTAATGAATACGCATCACGTAAGTTCATTGAACCTTAAAACACTTATGAACCTAAAGGTGATCAGAGCAGCCGTGCTGTGCAAGCGGCCACGTACTCAAATAAATATGCGAGCAATAACTTTCCTATTGAAACTAAATCGTCCAGTCACGATCAAACAAACCATTGCATGTTATAAGACATCACCGTGATGTCATTAACCGTATCATTGTTAGGATTGTTTAGACTGCTTAGCCGAAGGTAATTTATCCCTCAATATCCAACGAGATTGCATTCCATCTTTATGTCCATTGTAATTGTATTCTGATGGAATACCAATGATCTGTTTCCTTTGCATTCCACTATTATATCTATTCATACCAGATTCTTTGTCATTCGAACCAAAAATGGCAACGAAATGTCTACAGACTATAAATAGAGCATAAAGATTGTAATCACAAGGTAGTGGGTTCGTTTCAATTAGAGCTAGTACTTCTACAAGCCGAGTAAATGTCCCGTATTCAAAGCAAAGACCACTAATGAGTATCTTCTATTTATCTAGAACGCATAACTCGACATACATTTTAAGAATGCTTTAATGAGATTAAATATTAAAACTAGCACAAGAAGTAAATGTTTAAAAAGGTATTCATTTAAGAATGGTTTATCTGGACTGAAGAATTTTAGAAGAAACAATGGCATTTTCAATTGTAGTACTTTGTATAATCGGTAGAATGTAAAGAGAAATAAATAATTTTCAATACACAGTTGTTTATTCTGGTATCATAAAAATTAAATTTAGTTATATCATTAATCAGAATACAAAATAGTATTGAAAACACATTTGATGTTACGAGTAAACAACACCTCAATAATAGGAGAATAAAAAATCCCTAATCAAAATAAACTATACAAAAGAACCCATTCCCAGTGTCACACTGAACCGCCTCCAACAAATCCTACGATCCATTTGTGGATGTCGATAAACAAAGACGTCTTTGCAATCTGATAGGTATATGCAATTAACATTCTAAGACTTACGTTACGTTCCAAACAATGAACATACAATGCCAAGAGCGCAGCGGAATTACGTGTAATTTTTACATCACCGCACTTTAATTCGGAATGTATTGTTACGATATCATTGTTGCTTACTAGTTACTAGTTACTACTTACATTATTTATAATCTAAGTTCAAGGAACTCAGTCGTTTCTTAATATTATGAGAGGAGAACAATTGGATAGCGGTCTGTAAGACGTTTTTATCCTATTGTCAAATCATTTCGGTCATTAGAAAAAAACGCTAACAGATTTAAGCCCACGAAATTGCTTATAAGGTTAACTTAACGATTAATATTCATTATATATTCTTGAGCCATTTAAATAAAATTAATTTCTTTTGCTATTACAATTTCAAATCAAGTCTGCTTTCGCAAAGAGTGGGCGTGTCGTAAGCCCCTTAGTTGCAATCTGAAGATTGCTATTAACATTCATGAGGCACAGACGGGACAAGCTATCAAGGAAGCGCCTTTTACACGTCCCCGGTACATATCGACGGCCAGCGCTCTAAACGCTTACCAAGACTCTAGAATTTTCTTTTAAGATAAATATATATTTTATGTTGAACGCATTTGAGCGGAATACAACGAAATAACATATTTAAATTTGTTTATTGTAGATGTATAATATGTTTTAACAAACGAAAACATAGTACTACAAGAGAACACTAAGCATACTGCAAACTCCTAAACATTTTAGTAATAATACTGCGTCTTCATTTATAAAGTACAATACTATACTGAGCGACGTTTATACGATATCTACAAAGCTGACCGACTGGTGGCTTAGTGAGGGACAACTAAAGCTTCGTCCGGGGAGTAAGCTGACTTGCAAATAAAGTCCTGATTAATTATATTTATTACATTTCACCTTTAACCCTTAAACAATTACAGTAATCCTTACTGGCCATATATAGGCAGACGCCGTGCTGTGACAAGAGGCACAATAATCTTCTATACAGGGTGACTGGTGAATTACTATCGATATTTGAGAACGTGATATTTGACGATCATATATAACAAAATAAAAATTAATATAACATAAATATTAATAAACTTCTAAGTAAAGTTAACCAAAAGTTATGTAATTAATTACACATCGTATGAACACCCTACAGATTAGGTATACACACACACTCACACAGACGCGGCGGCGGCGTAGTGTTGTATCAGCACGCCGCCGCACGCGTCCACACTTGCAACACTTGGAACGTGTCAACACTTTATTTATTTATACGGAAATTTGACGATCATATATGACAGAATAAAAATTAATATAACATAAATATTAATAAACTTCTGAGTAAAGTTAACCAAAATTTGTGTAATTAATTACGCATCGTATGAACACCCTACAGATTAGGTATACACACACACACACACACTCGCGCGCGGCGGCGTGTTGTTGTATCAGCACGCCGCCGCACGCGTCCACACTTGGAAGACTTGGAACGTGTACACACTTTATTTATTTATACGGAAATTTTGTCAAAAATTAAGTACCTATTTTTTTTACATAATTCGAATGAGAATCATGTCCCGAGTATGCTCCTTAAATATTGATAGTAATTCACCAGTCACCCTGTATATATAAAAATGGATTGCTGTTCCTTAGTCTCGCTAAAACTCGAGAACAGCTGAACGGATTTATCTTATCTTAGTCTTGAAATGTTCGTGGAAGTTCAGGGAAGGTATAAAAGCTGAAAAAAATTGATTCATTACTGGGAAAACAATAAAAACAGCCCTTTTCTATTTCCCATACAAACGTTTTTTTTGACATTCGATTTGACAACTAACTAATATGTCAATCATTGTGTCGCACTTCAAAACACGGAGATTTATGGCTTACAGGTAAACTCTAAAAATATGAATAAAAAAACGTAACAGATATATCTTGATTATAGGGCGATACGAAGTTCGCCGGGTCTTCTAGTATGTCATAAATTTCTTAGATTTGAACCTAGGAATTATAAATTGATTAAGTCAGTCAGTGATCGAAATAAAATCATATCAAATCATACAATTAATAATAAATAATTTAAAAAGTATATTTTTACTTCAATTACATTGTAACTTTGTATTTAGCTAGCTTAATCTCTAAAATTGAAGTACATTATAGTATATTCGAACTATATATAAAATTAAAATGGCATGCATCAAGTAAAATCTAGTAAGTATTTAATATATTTTGACAGCTAACAACTTCGTATAGTTAATGTGGTGCGGAATGACAACATTCCAGAAAACCACTTTAACGTTGTCGGAAACACTTCAATTTGTAGCTTAAAACAAATAATTAGTTAGTTTGTGGACAAGTTTGACCTTTAAAGTTGCCTAAAGTTAGAAGAATTTCAGGAATATTTTGTTATAATTTCAATTATGACGCGGCAGGATGGCATTTAAGAGAAGTATTTAAAATATTTTAAATTGTTTCAAACAGGAAAAAACTCGAACCGAATCTATTAAAACAGACAGTAAAAAAATGAATGTATACGAAGCTTAAAAGCCTTAAGGCTATTCGAAAACATTGACCTATAGGTGTGGTCTAACATCATAATTGCTAGTAACACTCGTTTATTATCTTGAGTTACGTCTTTGGTTAGAAACGTCTATACTTTTGCTATGACAGACACTTCAAACACAATATGCCATTAAAACACTACTTATATCACGATCATTAATGTTTTTTGTAAGAAATTTTAGGGTTTTTATTATGATTACTTTTGTTCAGTTTCTGGTAGTAGAAAATTTTTAAAATATTCTGACACAGATTGTTACAATAATACGTGATCTTTCTAACTACCAAGAGCCGACATCCTCAAAAGTAATTTTTTTAGTATCATAAAATATAAGTCGCATTTTTAAACAATTTTAAAGTGCATTAAATCGCCAGTTAATTAAACTCTGTGCTAATTATTTCTAAGGCAAGTTTATTACAGTCTAAAAAAACTAGGTGAAATACATTTAGGAACTTCAGCAAAGTGTTCTATTCATCAATTTATAAAAACGTTATCAAATTTTATTCTAAAATATTGGGGTTACCTTTTAAATGGAATGTATGTTAATCAATGTAGGAAATATAAGAAATAAAGTGTTAAATTAAACTTAAGATGAAATATTATTATTTAAAAAAATACGATTCACAAAATTTACCTTGAATAAAAATAAATTGTGTTAAACGGAAGCCGGAGGTTGAGGCACTAGCGGATATGACGACACGGGAGGGACGGTCACGTGTAGTTCCGCAGGAACAACGCTAAGCTTCACTCCCCATATTATTTGTAACACACAATGGAAATTGTAATTTTAACTTAAAGCATTGTTCTTTTTCACGCTTAAATTACCTCATCACGAAAAAATAACTTCTATATCATTATTTAAATTATACACTTTGAAGGCAGCCCTAATAGGTTCCTTTAGGTTTGGTAGAGAGAAAAGCTTGAATAGTGGAGGTCAGCGTTTAACGTGCGTTAGATAGGGGTTCCTTAAACCTACACCTGGTTCGGAAGTCCTAGGCACTGTTGAAGCTCCTCTCCCTGCAACGATGGACCCGGCACCCGCACGGTGAAACCATAGAATACTGAGAGTTTTCGTCTGTCTTCATATGTTCATACATATTGTCAGCATGCATCTTGGTTTCTGTATATGTCAATTTTATTGTATAACTTATGACTGACCAATAAAATTAACGTTGCTGTTACTGAATGGTATGAGTTCTTAATGTTGCTATCCTGGTATGACTGGATAAAGTTGAACATAGTTTTATATCTTTCGTGACTAAATACAAATAATAACACATTGCTGTTAGTTATATTAAACAAATATATGGTTAGGTCATAATATTATTTTTAATTTATTTTTTGTCTCTCTGTTTGTTTGTGCAATAAGTGAGAAAGATTTGAAGAGGTCTATCTAGTAACGTTTAGATAAAATATAAGAAATATCAATTTTAACAGTTAGACGTCAGAATTTTCATGATGTTTGTGTATTTTAAAGACAAATTTACCCCGTTAGTCATTGTATACAATTTAATATAATTTGTGGTATCAGTTAAACATATGTATATATAACTGACTTACAAGTTCAATACCAGTTCCGACTTTAATTTCTCATTGCATTATGTACAACAATATTTTGATAAAAATAATTTTATAACAATCAATAATAATAATTATTCACGTATATGCGTCAAGGTTTTAATTTTACAAATGCAAAAATACATAACATGCTTGTGAGTTAAAATATTGTTTGTTAATAATACTTCAACTACACAAAATAATGGCATCATATTCGAGATAACAATAGCTGAATTGTGAGTTAAATAATTTAGTTGGATATATGAACTCACGAACTTCTAGAGACGTTACTTAA